GGTCGAATGTGATATACAGTCGGGTCATGGTAGTTTGAAGTCAGAAGTCAACTGCCAGTTTATAGACTTTTTGCTCATAATTTTTGTGAAGTGACGCTAAGGTGATAACATAAAAAATTTAACGAACAAATTCAGTTTTTCTTACTTATTTACTTAAATATTATCAGAAGTGGAAAGATATTTCACGCACTTTTGCAAACGCGCACATTTTTGTATTAATTAAGGGAATAATTGATTAAACAATAATGCGACCGATAGACACTAATTGTCAACATGTAAACTTCATAAATTCGCTGACTTTTCTGTGAAATTGTCTTCCCCAACTTGTTCTCTTCATGCCTATTTGCTTCTGATTCGAGAGTTGGAGCTATTTAACGCTCCCTTCCACGAATCATTGCCCTACCTGAAGTATACCAACCCACACTTATACTACCATTACCATTCTTATATTCAGAATACCGCAAGTCTTTCCAACCTAAGGATGCCACTTGAGAAGCCTTCTTCTGTCTTCGACCACTTCTCCACAGACATTCCAAATCTTGCTTGGTTTTTTTCCAAGGAGAACACCTTCACTCCTCCATGGTATCTTTCATTCCATCATTCTTTCATTCATTCATTTTTTGTTCCTTCTTGTCTTTCTTGTTTCTTTTACCTTTCATGCCTCCTCTTTACGTGCCACTATTTTTCAAATGTATTCTTATATGTCGAAGGTGGAAACCCATATACAAGGTAGGAATTGCAGTATCCTGTATGTATTGGGTATTTCCAGCTAACTGCTAGTTAGTTTTTAACTAGTGTGTTTGGGAGTAAATAGGTGGAGGTTTCAGTGATTCACTTCTGAGCTAACATAACTTTCGGTAGATTTTTGAGCTCAATCTTATCGTGGGTTATTCGGAATAAAAGAGCTATTGGAGATTGGTTTAACCTATGTATTTACAGTCAGATTCTCTTTGCAATCTCATGAATGTGATTATATTCTCATATTCCTTCATTGTATTTAATCGGAATATTTTCATATAGTCGTTGGCCAAAATCGAACTTTTGGCCAAAAATTGAGTGTGAGTAGGCGAGGTGGAGTTAGAGCATCTGATTAGTGAAGATGAGTTAGTCTTTACTCCCTCAGATACACCAAAGTTGAAGCTTCATTTTGGGGTTTCTGTATTTGGTGACGGAATGCAGGTGTTTTGCTGTTTCGGCATCTGTCTCGCCACACTTGACTCAGATCTTGCAAATTTGGATTGATTGATCTAGCGGAGAAATGTGTTCCTACTCAAAGTCATCAAACGAGTTTGGAACAGGGAATTCTTGTTAGAAATCCTTTGCCACGGTTGGCTCAGATTGGTGACAAATTTAGTTGCAGATTTTGTCGCTGATTGTCACAGATGATTTTGACAATTTCAGGTTTTGGTGAGTTGGTTAAAAGGGCTGAACAAGAGGTTTGAGGTGGCAGTGAATATAGCTTCGTGGTGGAAGTACATAACTTGATGTTGTTGTCATTACAATTTTGAGATGGTCTTTCAACACGACTGAATTGTTTGAGAGGACATGCTCAATTAATTCTCGGAATGTGGTGATGACATATGAATACTTACCAGCTCCACGATTTCCTCCAAATTTATGAGTCAATCTCTGAAACCGAGACGCCGGAAAATGAAACACACAACAGTCCTTCAACAGTTCTCATTTATCAGAGGTGCAGAATGTGATCGAGTTCTCGGAAGTGGCCTGTGAGATATCTAACCTCCTAGTGGTACTTGGGATGGGTTTGAACAAGGTATAAATTTGGGATCAGAGAGCAGCGCACTCGAAATCAAAATAGTACTAAGTCTCAGTATAAATCCTTTTTTATTTGAATAAATTGGAGAAAGTGCAGTGCCTTTAAATTCTAAAGATCATGAAGACCTTCCTCAACTCTGATCTTCAAGTGATTAGACAGGCAAATAAGGCATTTTACGGTATAAGATGTATTTCAGGGGGTGGGGGGTGGGGTGGGGTGGGGAGAGAAGGCTGTGGAAAGAAGTACCCGTTGCACATTTCATTTGAGTGATTGGAATCAGAATGATTGAATGAGGTTTCCCAATTTAGTGTCTGAGGTGCCATCTGGTCTTGACATTTTCGCGTCAGGAGCAAGTGAGGCTGAGAAGGCATTTGAATTAACACTTCACAAATCTACCTGGGCTAATATTATTGATTGATTAGCAGATTAATAATCCACTTACCCACTGCAACATTACAGAAATTACATCTCAATAATTATCAGCTTAATTTCACATTTGACCCCTATCCACAATAATAGCAATAATAATAATAACTAAAATTTCAATCATGACTTCCTTATAGAAGATATTAAGAAGAAATATGAGGAATTAAAGGATAAAATGCTGAGAAGATGAAGGATGGTGAGTCAAGGCCGACGAAAATTGCCATGCTCTCAGACCCTCCTCCACTACCAATTCAGTCGGAGAGTCTACCAACCATTTCCGTGACCCTAATGAGATCAAGGAGGATATGTGGTAGGTGTCGCGAATGAGATAATGAGATATACTAAATGAATCCTAGAGTGATCTAACCAATTGTGTTGACGCATCCACAAAAGAGTATACGAGTAAATAAGTTGGACATTCATAAGAGATCAATAGATGATGTTGAATTATTAATTTCATTCCTTACTCAAATTTAGCAAATACCTTCTCAGCATTAACTAGAAATACAGTAATTAACTCGATCTTAGTCAATAATAGTTTCGGTAGACAGATTTGATTTCAGTTCATTTTATTTATCTTCTAACCACAAAAATATATACGAGTATTAGAAGTCACAAAACTATTTAATTGGGAATTATATCCTTGTTCAGATCTTCCATGGTATGACAAGGAAGTAATGGGCTCCGAAGATCAATACCCCCTCTATGACGTAGCAACCACAAGTGAGACGATCTCCAAAATGAAGACGTAGAATATGTGTAGAAGAGGAGGAGCAGGAGCATGAGAAGGAGAAAGAGCAGGAGGAAGAAGAGGGGACAAGACGCAGAGACCTCCGAGGAACATTTGAAATCAAGAGATTGAGTGATGAAAAGCTTGAATATGGAATAGAGCCTGAGAAGACGAATTCGAGAGAGTTCACACTGCCTCACTTCCTCCTCAATCGTTCGTGTGAGTCATTAGAAGAAGAAGAAGAGGAGCCCTCCTCCGATTCTGCAGACTCCACCATTGTCGATACTGAAGGTACAAAGTTTCACTTCCTGTCTAATTCTTTAAGAAATAGTCATAGACTGAAAACACTGGTTGCGATTTTACGTGAATTGATTTTGTGTTTTTCCTTACTAGTTGCTGCATCCGCCACTTCACCGCCAATCACACATCGTCAATGGTTCAAGGGTTTGCGCAGTCGTCTTCGACGTTTTTTCTTGTGTTGCAATACAATCGAAGAGTATTGAATTAACAAGTTTCTTTTTTTAGTGACTTTTCTGCTAATAGTACCAACACATATTTACTAGGATTTTTCTCCACACATGTTTTCTTCTAAAACATCGATATTTTTGAAACTGTACTTTATTTCATGCATTGTATTCATTTGTCTGCGCCGACTATGGCCCACTTGGATAGTGATATGGGTTGTGAAAGGAAGATGGAAGTGCTGGGTCATTTTAAACTGTGATGTAAGCGTATGAACATATATGGACTTTGATTTTTGGAGATAGGCCATCTAACCCAGGAAGGCAAAAACTACTCGACACTACATGCGCACCAATGTAAGGTGCTTAAATGATACCGAAATTACCAATAGCACAAATGAGTAATGTTTATCTTCATTCTGAAAGCTTCATCAAATGCAGTGTTTATAACATTTTCACAGAACTAAAGCAGCAGAAATACCAATTAGGAAGCGGCTGAAGTAACGAAAATATCTACTAAGACACGCTAATCATGCTAAAACAATCTTTCATTGACGTAATAGGGTAGTTTGAATTGAGTAGTGCTTACTTCGTGAAGTTGGACAAATGAATCAGAGGTGGTGAATAAAAACAAAAGAAATTTAACTCCTTTGAGCACCTTACTTAGAATAAAACTGTTGAAAGTCTACACTCAAATACGAACTGAGTTGCTTGTCTATTTGAAAACTGTTGATTAGGAAGTTAAACGTCCAGAAAATCGCCGGCACTAGTGTGAACTGTAAATGGCTGCATTTGTTCATATAAAAATAAAATATGTCTCTGCTAAAAATATTTAATATGCCAAACAAAGCCTTATCCCATGTAATAGGAAACTTAAATAATTTTTCTAGTAAATCTTATTTCTAAGATGTATTTCCTTTTGCCACAATTTTCAACATTTTAATTACTCAAATAAATGCACCCATATGTTTTGTAAGATATTTTTCAACTTACAAACCCAAAACTGGCACAACTATAATTTTTGGGATTGAAGAGGTAAATCAAGTATAATGCCCAATTAAAATAAAATCAAAAAATGCTTAAATCTGAACATTGAAGAAATTATTGAGTTATCAATTTCATATAGAGGCAGAAAATTTATATTTATGGATTTGAACGCGATACGTCAATAATTGAACGTTGTATAAAAATTGGGTTCAAATTACCATAATTACATTTTAAAACTGTAAATTCTTAGAAGAAACATGAATAGATAATCTGCTTTTCGTAATATTGCAAATAATTAGTTTAAGCACTATTTTGAAAAATATAACGTTGAGAAGCTGAAAACATTCAGTCGATATTTATCATCTGGCCCGAGAAGTTATTTGTATAGTTGTAATTTAATTTTGTGACACCGTTAATATTAATTACCATGTATTTATATTCCCGCAATTTTCAAAGGTGTAGGGCTTTCGGCTCTGTTGTGTAGTATATCTCCAATGTCTTGGGGTAATATATTCTTTGGTAATATAGCTTTTTATTAGTGAAAGCTAACGCAGTTTATCTGTTTAAAAACGTTCCACATCTTGTGTACGTTCTTCCTATCGCCTCAGCATGTAAGTTACTTGATCATCGATTTCATCTAAATTCCTAGGTTTCGCTTGGTCAATTTATCGTCATCAATGCCGAAGGGCTGATGGCCTTGAGCGTACATTTAAATACAAGAAAGTTTATTCAGGTTTGTTTCTGCTATTTTTTGTATTTATTTTTACAGTTAAACGCCGCGAGGACGTAGTTATAACAGATGAGAATCGGGATCTCTTCAATTAATTCGTATCCCCATTTGTGTACTGATTAGGTATAGCTGTACAATAAAGCTCATTAGTAGCACCGAATTATTTTTTTCACTTAATTTGGTGATTATATACCGGTTTTTAGCTCATTTTCTCATCCTATGATCATTCATATATTGTTATACTCTACACCGTCTTAGTTTTTTACATTTTGTATTCCTCTTGGCCTAAATACCTAGTATATTGGTATATTCTTAGGAAATACAGTTTTCCTTTAATTTTTAGTGAAATCGCTCTCTCTTTTACTCTTTCTGAAAATTTTGTCTATGTTGTGCGTCATAGTTTTAATTCATTTTTGTTCCTACTGGATTTTTTCAGCGCTTTCAAGGTTCACCTAAGATTTAATTTGATTTTTTCGAAACTAAAAGCTCTTGAATGATTTTCTAAACCACTTGGATGCGGTTTATTGCAAGGTCGAACTATTAATTTCCCACGTGAGTCATGATTTACCACTACAAATGCGCGGTCAATTTTTATACATCGAGAAATAAAAAAATTAGGATTGCCTTCCCAAGCCCTTTTGAGTAAGCGTTAGTACCAAATTTGTTCGGTTGAATGATGTTACGGAAGGTCGTTTTATAGCACATTTTATTGATCAGAATTCTTCCATTGTTTACCATACACATCTCTGGTCAAATACTAGCCTTGTAACCTTTGACTTAGAGGAGGTATATGTTGACTTCCTCGTTGTAAGGGATGCTAATTAGCAGTTTTTTCAAATCGTACAGTGGGTTCCTTTTAGGAGATAGGCGACAAGCCAGGATGAACACTGTCCTCGAAGTGGATCGTTGAATGGTTTCGGTCTAGTTGGCGTATAGTTTAATTAGGCTGGTGGAATAGTTATTTAAATTTCAATAACAAGCAATGACAAAATTGGGTGTTATAAATAATTCAAAAGTTTAAATTATGTCTTAGTTTACCAGTTATTCATGAATTCCCTTCGAACTATTAACTTTATTCCAACTGTTTGAACATAAGCCTGCGGATTCCCACAAATCTTGTGATCGTAAGTGACGTCTAAACTGATTGATCATTCAATCTACTCATCATTATAAATATTTACCTATGGGATATATGAACGAGTTGCAAACTGAAGGAAGAGCTGTCAATGAAATTTGTTATTACAGGAAAGGCATCGATAGGATGCAAGTATAGGAGTCCCATAAGACGAAAAGATAGCCGCTATATGTTTTTTCTGAAGGTAATTGGTTCTCCGATGTCTTCCATCATTCCTATCAATGCAAGAGTGCACATCGCGCCTCAAGGGTAGTACATTGTCTTGAAGTAAAACTATTATCCATCGCGAAGTTCATAACAAAAGGTAAGAGGAAGTGACTACAGTGGTCATTACTCTATTCCTCATCGTTGGACTTAGAGGTAAGTATATCTCCGCATTCTAGCTTTCATCGGCCATTGTTCCACCTTGTTTGCCTGTGTATTGACGATTCATCCGTAAGGGTGGTGGAAATTTATACCTTAGGCTACTTCTAATTCGTTAATAGCAGTGTGGTTGGTTGTTTCCTTAAGAGTCTATATCGAAATGATTACATAAGACCGTAATGTACATAATAATACTAATTTAATTTGTTACTGATAGATTGTAAGTAGCGGTTGCTGATGAAATTAAGTTGGTATTTTGCGCAGGCAAACTCCCTTGCTATGAGAGATTATCATTCCAAAACTGTTCGGACTCTGGTGAGTTCTGCTATTTAAAATATCCTAGTTAGGACTGAATGCAATTTATAGATGAGAAAGTGGAGATGTTGCAATGGAAATTTCTTTGCATCAGTAGATAATAGAGCCTTTATGCTGCAGATATAAATTCACCCAACAAACCCGAACTTATTTCCTGCAATTTGAAATTTTAAGAACACTCGAGCATAACTCGGAGACTCTACTTACAAAGTATGGTTTAATAAATCAATAATTCCGAGATAAATATATCCATTGTTTATGTTTTCTTGATGGATTCTCCACTTGTAGGCATTTATTCAGACATCAAATATTGTAGCTTTTCTCATGATTTTCTGGAAATGGTAATGGTAAATTAGCTCATTATTTGATTCAGCATATGCTCTCCGACGTGCTGAAATTAGTTAAGCTAATCACAAGAAGCCCTACCTTGTTTTTGAAACAGTTTTGGAGTACACAACTCTAACAGGATCGCTTTAGGGGTCAAATGAATTCACGAGTGCAAAGACCTCTTGAACAATCAATAGACATTACAGGGGCACCGTGCCGCAACCATATTTAATGATTATGCTCTGTGTCAGTTTCCCAAATAGCTGAGAGACCACAGAATACCAGCCCCAGTAAATGTATTTAACGTCTTATGGGAGCCTTACCATGCTTGGGGATTTTGCCATAGAGATTTCTGAGGAAAAGTTCAGGCTTTTTCGTGTAGTAATTCACTATGCAGTATAAAGCATTATTAACTTCTAAATGATATTCACGTGGATATTTTTCGTAAATTATAGATTGGTTTAATACCTTTAACGTGCTTAAAACGAATATCTTCGTTATTTATTTTTACTTGAACCGCATAAATTTATTAGATTATTGTTGTAGATTAATATCCAGAGAAATGTTACTGATCTGAAGCTTCCAGTGTATTTAGAATGCAGGAGAATTTTTTTACTTACAGTTTAACTATTGTAATGGATTGCTACGCAAATAATCTTGATATATCTTTTCAAGGTCTCTATGGCAAAGTATCATAGTAAGGACGGGCTCTTGTACTTAAACTATCTCAATTATAAAGAAGAAGAAGAAGAAGTAAACGTATGGCGAGTATGGTGTTTATTCAATTTCATGAGCACAGCAAACGTGATTATAGATAGTTGTCTATCTGAAAAGCCGTCTGCATTCACGGCTGCGTCCCACAGAATGCCCGGGTGAGGAGTTTAATCGTTTTACGAATGCGTACTCTACACTTTCAATCGGCGGCACTTTGAATTCTCCTGGGCTTTTATTACTAGCAATTTTATTGCAGAAACTGCAATACGTTGTTTTAATAAATGCATAGGCACTACAGAACCTAAATTGAATTAAGTATCAGTTTAGTATTTTTGAAAAAAAGGATTACAGTGGATGCTTTGGATACAGATAAATAATGATCCACTGAATCTAACAATTTTTCATTCAATGTTGACCTTCTAAGCGAGGTAGGTGGAGACTACTTCTCGAGAGCGTAATTTTTCCAAGACT